AGCCATTGACCTCGCATCCCTACAAAGCCGGGATGGAGCACGCCAGGTTCTCACCGGACCAGGCTCTCACATCACCCAAGCGCGAAGCGCCGTGAGGTATTCGGCGAGTCGCATGAAGGGTGCGCTGCATCCTGCGAAGGGTGTTTGGCACCGTGTGCTTACTTGCTTGCGCACGGATGACAGCTGCGTATGACTTAATCTACTCTCTGGTGCTTTCACTTTCAGAGACAGTCATAAGCACTGTGTAACCGCCTCGAGGGCGCTTGACCAATATAATACAACGTGGTGCGATTTTTCCCTTTGCGCGGAGTGACAGTTCTCGACCCCGCTCAACATAATGTACTCGACCACCATTCATGGTTACCGCAAAAAAAGAATAGTGCGGTAACGTGGTTGCCGAGCTCACGAAGTGATCGGCTTGTTTTACAACATCTCTGCCAAGCGACTAAAACTCAACCTCGCTAGCAAACACCGGGGCGGGCGACTGTTTTTACAACTTCGTTGCCAAGCGAGGAAACCCAACCCCGATGGCAAGCACCGGGGGGGGACAGGCGGGGGGGGCTCACCTCAGAAAGTAGCGATATGGGTGGTGGTTCACATCAACAACAGAACGGCGACTTAGCCTCGTGTTGCAGAGGACGTGACTCAAGAGCATGGACAAACGAGATTACGACTTGCGCGTTCTGCAGAGTCGTGACTGCAGGCCCAAAGACCGGGCGAGCTGGACCCCGTCACCGAGGGCATACACAGCGATTTCTCTCAAGATCCCCCCTCGCCCCCCGCCCACCAGCGTGGCAGCAACCAGCAGCAGCAGGCCTTAAAAACTTAGCAAATCAACACACGATCAGCATCAACTCATGAAGGTGACGACAGGAGAAAAACACAGCAGTTAGCCAAACACAAACCGCGAAACGTGCGCCCCACACTCTGGCCGCACCCCGCAACCTTCACCTTCGCATCACGACTACCACACCCACACACCACACCTGCAGAAGCCGTTGTCGGTGCTGTTGAAGCCGAGCTTGGGTCCGATGTCTCCTATCGCGACGCCCTTGAGAGGGCTGTGGTCCGTCATGCTGCGGAGCTGTACAAAGAAAGGATGCACCCCCAGCACCTTCCCGTCCAACACGAGCTGCGCCATCAGCACGCAGTGAGTCGAAGTCTTGCCCAGCCCTCCCGGCCACCACTGCGCGGGTTGGGGGAGACGCACATCGTAATTGCGGGAGAACGGGAGGGGGGGAGGGCGCCAGTTCAAAGTGGGGGTGTAAGAGGTTGAGGGGGGGCGTGGTGCTACGTATCTCGAGATCTGACCAAGGTTAAACACAGAGCCCGCGTGCCTACAAAAGCGCACCTCCGCGCGATAAAGTTTAAGATCCACCCATGGCTCCTTCTCCACGCGAGTGGTCGCGAGGCCAGGAAACAGCAGCCGACCCACCGGCCAAATCCACTCCATCAAAATGCTCCCTCCCCCTCCCCCGTACGTAAGAGCCTGGTCCGATGAGAATGGGTCATATCGCTCCGTCCCGGCATCGCAGGGATGCGGAGTCAACGGTCTAACGACTACCGCATGCGCGGCAGTAAGTCCCCCCCCCCTCCGATCGAATTTGACGGGGCCGCCTCCTCTTTGCTTCCATGTAGTTATCGTTCTTGTCCGCTCACCTTCGTGCTCGTGAGCGTGGGGCTATGGAGGACGAACTCTTGGGTGGCCTTAGGAAAGGAGGAGAAGGGGTGTAGCACAAAGGTTCAGCGAGCGACACGAGCGGGAACATCGGGGACAAGCACGGACGGCGGGGGGGGGGGGCG